CACCCATAAATTAACACATTGAATCTCTTTTAACAATGAAAGACTAAAATAGTCATTTACATATCTCAAATTACTCACCTCTAATTCAATCCCAAAATTCGATATTTACATAAATCATCTCCAACCCTCTTCTGCCGCCAGTGGTTTGGAGTTGATTTCGGTCGATTTTCTCACCAAAATCGATCGAAATCATCATCTTATCATTTCCCAACTGTTTTCTCAACTTTGATAGCCCTCGATTTGGCCAATTTTTGATGACTCTCGCAACCCAACTCCACTGCGCGCGACAACCATTTCTGGCCTTTTCAACATGTACCCGACATTGTTGGCCTTCCCCGACACCACCATCTTCCTCTCCTAGCCCTCTCACCAAAACCCCTATCATACCTCATCTGTTTACTCTGCCAATCACCGGCCACTGATACCTTTTGGGTCGTGACTTCTCAAGCATTTTCTTGTCAATCTTGACATTGGAAATCACCCATTTCACCACTCATCACTTCTCCAACATCTACTCTCTAAAACCCCCCACCAGCCTAACCCTGTTAACCTGCCGATCACTGTTCACCTCTCCTAGTGATTTTGCATCTCAAAAGGCCAAAAAAAAAAAATAATAATTAAAATATTTTTTTTAATATATGCTTATATTATTAGAAGGCCCTAAAGTAACTCTTGTCTAGGGTCATAAATGTTTTAGAGACGGCCCTGCTTCCACGCCTAGTAAAATATAAATGAATAAGACAATTTTGTCTTAGGGTCTGCTTGGGAGTTTCGGGGTAGCGGTTATGAGAGTAAACCATTGTAGCGGTTTTGAGGGTAAACCACCGTAGCGGTTTTGAGGGGTTTTTAATAGCGGTTTTTAAAACACCCAACCTGTGCTTGAGAGTTTATTTTCCAACGGTTCTGACAGTTTTTTAAAATGATAAATTTACATATATGCCCATAAAGTTAAAACACTCTCTTTTGTTGAATTAACTTTGATAAATACAAATAATGCCTAAATTTTGGCTCAACTTTAAAATATTTGCTTAATTCAATTTTCACACGACAGCTTTTATTTACTTTATAATTAATTCAATTCCTACATCAAAAGTAAAACATGTGAGCCATAAGTAATATATTTAGCTATGATATAATTTTTGAAAGAATTATAAATTCATTCTTTTGTGTAGTAGTTAACATCTATCTCTCTTTGGATCCTTTTTGTTTGTCTACCCTTTTGCCGTGTATAAAAACATGAAAAGAGAAAGCCTATCTTCCTTTTTGGCGATTATCTTATTACTAATTCCATCACTTGCTCTCTTCCACTCAAATTTTTGATTCTCAATGCTCTTTATTTTGCTCATTCTTTCAAGGACACTGTTAAAGTTTACACTACAATCCAACTTGTGTGCTAGAGAGAAGTGAACAGCAATGACAGATTAAAACCATTCATGTGCGGCAAAGGGCTTTGTGTGCAGCAAATTAAAACCATTCGTGTGCAGCAACAAGAGAATTGTGTGCTATTGAGAAGTGAACAGCAATGATAGATTTGAGAGATTTGTGTGCTAGAGAGAATCTACAGCAGCAAAAGATTTGTAAAAGGGAGTGGAAAGGGGTTTTTTGGGGATAAAAGTTTTAAACCAGTCAAAACACCCCAATTTGGGGTGTTTTATAAACCCCTCCAAAATACACTACACTGGTTTTGGGGGGTTTTTAAACCCCTCAAAACCAGCCTATTAAAAATCTGGCAAGTGGAGGTTTTTAAACACCCCAAAACCAATTTAATTAAAAACCTCCTAAAACCAGTAAAAAAAAAACTCCCAAACAGACGCTTAGAATGTCACACTAACGTCACAGTTACAAGCCATGAAACCCACTTCTAAAATAAAATTATATTCTGCAGCCAAAATATATCTTTATTTGGTTAAAGACATTAATTACCCCATGTATGATAAAATGGTAAAACTCATCATAAAGTTTCGGAAATAACAGAGATTTTATTAAAAGAAAATAAATAGTGTAAGATAATGGATATGGAATGAAGAAATTAGAATTATCTATCTTAAACACATTTCAAATCAGTTCTTCATGAAATGACAACCTTGTTGAATCTGTTAAATTGGGTTTTTGTCAAGTAGAATCAAATCAAATCATGGTAATTACCTCTACTTTTTATTATTCATCCCATCAAATTTGAACAATCTTGTCTATTAGAGTCGCACAGTTACTTGAATTTGTTTTGTCTGTTCTGTTGTATGTTTTTTATATTTGCATAGTTCTAATTAAACCTTCTTAGCCCCTTACAGAACTGCAGTACAAAAGGGAAAAGGCCGCTCCCAGAAAAATGCCTAACCAGGGTTAAAACTTAATTGAAGCAAAGCCTGATAGTGTTTCCCTCTCTTTTTATTCAACTCACGACTTGGGCAACGAGTTGTGTTTTCAAACCAAATAATTCTTTATCTATTTCTTTAATATATTAGGATTTCTTACAAGAGATGCCAGACAACCACCTAAATACCTAAATCCACGGTCGTCTGAAACTCACGCCATTAAATATTAAAAATCCATATCTGAAACTTTCGCGATGAGAAGTATGTCAAATTTTCAACTCATAATCACAATCAATTATGATTTGACATGATCAATCTAATGAAAAACAAGAATGATTGTAAATTGGAATAGTAATAAACAAGTATATAAACAAAGCGGCCATGGATATTATTTAAAAAGTATCGAGTTTGATTTGTCAGAGTTATTAATAGAGGTAATCATTGAGAGTTTACTCAATTGTCAATTTGAGAGTTTTAGAGGATTAGTTAATATACACGTAAGTTGGTCCGGATAACTCCAATCATCAAAAAAATAAAAACAAAAAGGTATATAAACAAGTATGATAATTCTAATCTCTTCATTTTCGAGCCATAATCTTATATTAAATATACAAACTGATATGACACTATTCTTTAATTGACACATCATTCACCTAATTTATTGAATATTTAATGAGTTTGATTTTTTATGTGTATTTATCTTTTCATTTTAAGATACATTAGTTTGTATGAAAAAGTTTATACATCTAATATTATTCTTTTTCATGGGTTTCAACAAACTCCTTACAATGATTCGTGAGATAATGATACATACTTTTGGAAGAATATGGTGTATGTATTTCAGTGATTTAAACGTGAGAATAGACATAAATTTAATGGTTTTAGATAATATAGGGAATATGGTGTATTTTTTTCTTTTTAATAAGTATTATGTTACTCCTACAGTTAACTACCCATTTTTAGTATTGTAGACTGTAGAGTAACCATAATTTAAAAGTTAATTTTTTGATAATTTTATGGATCCCCTAAATTATAGGCTAACTTGGTGGCATAGAGGGTGCAGTTATAAATATCTTTAACCTATGAATAATATTCCAATAACATTGTATCCAACAGTCTAAACCCTTTAAGGAGTATCAGGATTAACCCTAAATCTCTTAAGGTGTGTTTGGTTGGAGGTTATATAGAATTACTGAGGTAATATTATTTAATATTACTTGATTACTACGTTTAGTTGTCAAGTAATAGAAGATTCCGATAATTTTCCAATACCAACAGTTATTGTTGGTAATATAGGAGGTAATCTGATTACCTCAATTTTCTTAGGTATTGTAAGATTACTTGATAATCCTATTTTTGTTAAAATTATACCTCTTATTAATAAAATTTTAGGATAATAATGCCCTCGTTTTAAAAACAATTTACAAAAATATCAATTAACTATTTTATCTTTATATACAAAGTTTTTAGGACATAAATACCCTTGAAATTTAAAAACATTACCTAAGGGTGGTGGCTGGATTTGGCCATAGCCACCACAGCCAACTGTTGGGAACCACTACCGACAACGACGGAATGGCACACAACTGGCCATATATGGCCGGCCGTGCACATCCATGGTCGGAAACAGCCAGATCTGGCCTTTCACAGCCATTGTTTTACGGTCAGATCTCCACTTTCGCTGCCGTCGACGCTGCTGGTAGGCCACTAGCAATGGCTTGGGATGGGTGGAGGGTGTTTTTGTTAAGTTTTATACTTTTTTTGTTGTTGGGGTATTTTAGCTAAATATGAAATGTAGGGATTAAAAAAATTATTCAAAAAATAATATCATATTGATATTTAAAAAGGAGGACAATTTAGTAAATTATATGATATACCCACCAATTTATTCATCCCAACCAAATATATTAATATAACATACCCACTAAGTTATTCCAACCAACCAAACATATTTTCCTAAACATTTCTAGTAATATTCAAGATAATCTATATTTCATTAATGTAGCATTTTCAGTAATACAACAATCCTTGAACCAAACGTATGCATAGTTACCTAAACGTTATGGTTTCTTTGTTAACTTTTGCTAATGTTACGAGGTGTAGGGTTATTCCTAATACATTAGGGGGTTTTATATTAGCGCAAACCTTCAGGTTTCTGCTATATTACACGTATTGAAATTTATGTGCAAGTATATAATTTCACCCCTTATACGTTTATTTTTTTTTTTCATAACCTAGTTGACAAACTTTACTATTTAACCCCCTGGAAACAATTTCGTGCTTCTGTCACGTACCCATACCATTATTCATTCTGAGAGATTAGAACTACTATCGTCAACCATGTGCATCCGTCTCTGCAGGCAGCCCCGACTCGTTATAGCTCCATAGGTAGCTTATTTTATGAAACTTTACTATGACATGACTTTACACTGGATCTTACTAATGAGTAAATTACATATCTTTTACAAGATCCTTCAAATTTCAGGAAAGTCTATATCAAGATAAATCCAAATTCAATTCTTCATCCTTTCTACATTTAGGCCAACTTGTCATAATTTGCAAGAGCGTTTTGTCGCAATATGTCACTTTAACTATACATCAACGTGAAACTTGTAAACTCATAACTTGAAACTTGTAAACCAAAAACGTAAAACTTGTAATATGCTCTTTTATAGTCAAAGCCTTTGCAATACCATTCAATTATTGTCGAAGATGAACATTCTTCCTAATATAAATTGTAAACATGTTTGCTTTCCCCACTATACTTTCACTAATCATGTTTACTTCATCCTTCAGCGTTTAGGCCTCCTCAGTATATCTTTTATATATGTATCCTCATTGCTAGAGGAAATACATTCTTGTTTACCGTAACAATATTTGAGATTCTGAGATTCTTAACTCTCCATACCACAAAAATTCTTGCAAGTGAACATACAGGTAGAGATAAAACTAGCAGTAAACTAGGAAAATAAGATCCGTGGTTCCATAGAAAACTGAGTTGTTTAAGTTCTCTCATCTCATTGTCGAATTCATTTCCATTTACCCTCACATCTCCCACATTATCATCATTCGTAAGGACAGAAATGAAGACACATTACCAAGAGAAGAGAGCTTGCTTGGCTTTCGCAGCAACTCATCGCTATTCTTCATGAATGAAAGATCCACAGGATATACATTCCATCCAGTAGGGAAATTGAAAATCTCATTATAGGGGGAACACTGTATAGTTGAACCAGTATTGTGTAATTATCTGATAGCACTCTCGCCTGGTGATTTTTTTATACTCTTTTCTCTCATCAACACTCTTACCTTCTCAACACCATCCCACTTCCCCTCTTCTGCATAAATATTCGATAATAAAACATAATTACCAGAATTCCATGGCTCAAGATTAATAAGCTCTTTAACAGCATGTTCTGCAAGTTCTACATCACCATGAGTTCGGCAAGCACTTAGCAGGGCACCCCATAAAGTAGCATTTGGCCTAATACTCATGCTTGTAATCAGGTCATAAGCTTCTCTAACACATCCACTACGTCCAAGGACATCAACCATGCATCCATAATGCTCGAGATTTGGCTCTACATGGTGCCTTTCAGTCATTGAAGCAAACAACTCCCACCCTTTTTCCACCATCCCAGCATGAGCACAACACGTTAGAACACCCAAAAAAGTAGTGGGATTAGGAGTCAAACCTTCCGTCATCATCTGCTCAAAAAATTCAACGCCGAGCTCACCCCTTCCATTGAAAGCCAGGCCTGAAATCATGGCATTCCAAGAAATCACATTTTTTTTAGGCATTTCACTAAAAATCTTTCTAGCAGTCTCCAAAATTCCACACTTACAATAAAAATCAACTAACGCATTTTCAACTGAAACAATATTCTGATAAAGGCCACTTGATTTAGCATAAGAATGAATCCACTCCCCAACATCAACAGCTCCCAAACGAGCACAAACAGGCAATACATTAACAATAGTTGCCTCATCTAACTCAAATCCTTGATCACGCATTTCATGAAATAATTTCAAAGCTTCACTATCCATCCCACTCTGTGATAAGTAAGAAATCATTGAATTCCAAGAAACAACACTTCTCTCACTCATTTCCCTGAAAAGATGCAACCCCGTCTCGACATCTCCTCTTTTACAAAACCCACGAATCATCAAATTCCAAACGATCACATCTCTTTGACCCATTTCATCAAACACCTTCATAGCATGCCCCATCTCATCAAACTTTGTATACAACTCAACAATCCCAATCCTCAGTGATCCAAAACACTCAAACCCACTTCTAATAACCTCTCCATGAACACATTGGCCATCTCTAACATCAGAAACACTTACACACGCCTTAAGCAATGGCGAAAATGTGTACTCATCAGGCCAAATGCCACGACTTTTCATCGCAGAAAACAAGTTCAGAGACTCTTCAAAAGGCCCGTTACGTGAATAGGCTTTGATCATGGAATTGAAGAGGATAATGTTGGGATTTTGGCTTTGTTTAAAGATTGAAACTGCGTAATTCATCTTGTTGAGGGTACCACATACGGAAACGAAATGAGATAGGATTTGGTTGGAATGGTGAAGGCCGTGGCGGAGAAAATGAGCGTGGATTTGAGTGAGTTGGGTTCGGGTTTTGTGACCATGAAGAAGGCGCAGGATCTTGCGCTCGATTTCAATGGAAGATCTGTTCATTGTTGCTTTTAAATGCAGGATTACAATCCTTTTGCAAGGAAGAAAATGGACGGAACGAAACGATTACAATAACACTACCAACGTTATTATATAATATTCACAACTTAATTGTATAATTTTTCTTTCTTAATTTAAATTGAATTTATACATCCATATAATCATAAAACACTTGCTATTTGAAAGCTACATAGGATTTTATAATTGTTGCAAGTGTCTACATGTTATTGTTAATTATTAATTGAACATTAAATTAAATATTTTCTAATTTATTATTTTAATCAAGTCTTAGGATACTATTTATATTGTATAATTTTCAAATTATGCTAGTATATTCTGTAATTTCTAATTAATATGATTAGGAGATTCAGTATATCATTTCCAACCTAGATAATGTCTGTACAACTATAGTAGATCCCAACCAATTATTCCAATTATTCAAACAAACAGATGTTAAAACAACTTTCTTAAGCAACGCGCTTCAACTAGGTGATCATAACACAATAAATATTGTAAGAGTAATTTCAATGAAGATATTTTTAACTGAATAATATGTTATTATTTTAAACTAATTTATTTAGTAATATGAATAAATACAGAAAATAGAAAACTCCCTTATAACATATAATAACTTTACATTACACGCTCATAAAATTTTTACAAAATCAACTTCTGATAACATTAATTTAATTATAAGATAATTCCCCAATATTTAATTTGTTAAAAATAAATCAATTCAATGCCATTATTGCCACCGCAAGAAATGGAAAACCAAGTTACCCCAAAAACCAACCCAGTTAACCCAAAAGCATGCAGGAATTCGGTTGACCTGCATGAATTTAGTTGCCTTCAATATCTTAATTGTATATGATTATAGTATGGTCTAAGTTGATTGAGAACTTAGTATGTACACTGACTATGCTGGTTGAGCAATCATCAAGCTCAATACAACCAAATATTTATACTGGGAATATTGTGTATAACAATATAACATATTAATGGTGCTTGTTTCTGGTCATGCTTTTTCCCTTGGTTACACCAATCTGTTTTCCATCATTCACCGTCCTGCTCATGTAATTTTTGAGTCAAAGTTCATAATATTATTCAATCTGTACATGGAGGGGTGCTTTTAATAACTACAGAGGGTTGTTTTTATATTTTATGAGAACACTGGGCTACAATAGAATTTAAGGATGTCCAAAGGGCATAAGGGCTGCATCTGAGCATCTATTGTTTGAAAAAGAAATCCAACATCATACAGTTTTGGCAACTAAAAATTGGGATCATGTTAAACTGCACCCACAATAGTACACACTCTTCGGATATGAAAAGTTACAACTTGCAGAAGGTCAGAGAGCTATATTCTTTTACACCATTGTAAGTCATTAAAAAGACTATTACATGGGTGAATGAAACTCACTCCTATAATATCAAAGGAAAGTTCAAGCATTTGTCTCACTTTTTCGACGCATGAAAACTGCCGAATCCCATCATAGCTGCAATGTCAGGATCAATTTCAGTTTCCTCTTCTACTTCTTTCTCTTTCTGAACCCAAAAAGTGAAGAACAATCAGCCATACTTTACCAGTAAAATGAAAAATAAATGAAACCATTGTCCTTGCTTAGTGTTCAATCTCTACGTTTTTTCAATTGGGAACCAACAGTAAGTCTGTATACTAGCAAAGATAAATCTACAGAAGTCTAATATACTTGGCACTTTAAACTTGAATAAGATTTGTATAGGAAACCATTTGTTTGATAGGCAAATAGCAACCAATCTGAACCACAAACCACTGTTGAATAAAACAATCAGCAGATTGGGAAGAAAAAGATCGCATATCCGCTCATGACCTTAAATTAGTTTGAATATTTTACAATCTCATAAATACTAGTCATGAGCAATATTATGGTGCTAACCTTCTTCTCTTTCTTTCTTTCTCGGCGTTGACGCTTCCGTTCCTCCTCTTCTTCCTGCTGTTTGCTGATTCGGGCATCAAGATCTAAGGCATTAAAACAGCAAGATGTCAATTTCCACAATCAATTAAATCTTTACCTATTCTTTTTTACTCTAGATATTTCCATCAATGCCTTACCTTGCTCTGTGAAGCTGCTAGGGTCTTTCCGCTTCTTGAGGATTTCAAAACGCTCCCGTACCTTCACACAAATATGGAATATCAGAAAAACTAAGTACTAAGCCTAAACAATAATCACATCCAGGAAAGGTTTCCCACAACTTTTGATACTCCCAAGAATTGGGAATATTTTTACTCTATACATTTCACAAACATTAGTTTTCTTCCAGAACATACATCCACACATGGCACATGTGCCCAAAACAAAAATCATTAATTACAGTTTTATAGCTTTTCCTGTTTTCTGGTTTGTTTAAGCTTTCATAGCCATCTTAGTTTTCTCCATTAAACATCTTCAGTGGTTATATAACCGTCATATCATTTCAAAATAAAGAATACTTCTAAAGGTGTACCTGATCAAGAGATGCTCGTTCAACCCGCATTGACATACCCAAAGCTCTTTGATCTAGAGAACACAACCAATCGATCAAGTAGATGAGTGATTGTGGATAGTTTAATAGAACAAAGCAAGTGTATAGATGACTACATACGTTTCTTTCCATTGATATGATCCAAGTAGTTGGCAGAATCCTTTACTACACACTCGCAAACAGAACAGTAATATCCAGCCTGCAAGAAAACAGATTATAGATAAAGAGAAGAAATATTATATAATGACAAAGTAATGATTCTACTTTCATTAAACAGATGTAGAACAGCTAAGAATAATCCAAGCCACCATCTCTGCCTAGAGATAACTGCCTGAAATCATAGAACATATAGGGCATATATGTCTAGCCAGGTGGTGCAAGGGGCAAAGCTCATCGAGGCAATTGTAGACAACCACCGTAAAATTTTGTTTAGGGATAATATCACCAATCTCTCCTGTTGGTTTATTTATCATAATATAGATTTCCTTGGTTGAAAACTCTGACACAGACCTCCTTTACTATTAGTTTTGTCCATTATGACAAAACCTGATCAAGCATAACCAGTTATCTACTGAAGTGGTCAGATCAGACAGTTGAAGCAATTTTAACAGTTATCTACACAGTTACAGGTGCAATCATAGAGATTGAAACAATAGTGAGAGATAACTCAGAAAACCTCAAATTGATTAATAAACAAAAGACCAAAAATACATAAGAATAGTGGTAAGCACACCTGTTGGCTTAATGGAGCTATTGGAGTAACAACCTGCACAAAATACAGAATGAGATAGATCAGTATAACAAACTATAAGAAATCAGGAAGGACTATCAGAAACATGTGAGCACAAAACGCAAATATTGATCTGATGATAACAAGATTATCCAAAAAAATTATTTACTCAGTCAACATGCAGCAACTCCTAAATCAACCTCTAAGTAGATATAGTGCACAATGCGAGACACCAATATCGATAGTAATCAAGACTTTCGCAAACAACACAATCCTGAATCAAACATCTTAACACACAGTTCACTAAACCTATTTAAAGATAGCAGCAGCTAACCTAAAATATAATTTATCACAGCAACCAACACAGTGTTACTACTTTCATTTCCCTTCCTTGAACTCTTCTTAGTAGAGTACTAATCAGTGGGTTGCCTGCAAGTACTCGTTCATTTTGTTAACCAAATAGGCAATCTCCATATATTAGTTGTTTTTAAACGTTTACTTCTCACAAATACATATATTACTCATGGACCACTCCCATTAATCATTTAGCCTAACTATATCACAGGTGATGCTTCTACTTTCCTCCTTTTGCAAATCAATAACTAGTCATCAAATTATAACTTTTCGAAACCATTCAGCACTTAATATTCAGCACTTAACATGATAATTAATAATGAAAAAGGCACAGATATACAAAATAAACAAAAAAAGAAAGATGAACTCACTTGAGTTTTACCCAATCGAGATTCAAGGTCCACTATATAGTCCCTATGCTTCAAAGGCTTCCTCTGCACTGGAGGACCCTTTGCTGCCAAAATAATAATAATAATAATATATATCAATGTTTACCCAATCCAACTAAATACCCAATAAAGAAGAAACAACTTACATTTCGATTTAACTCGGCCATCCGACTCCTAAATAAGAAAGAAAAAAAGTTATCAAGCAAAACAGAAACCTAAAATTAAAAAAAAAAAGAAAAATATTAAATAAATAAATAAATAACAAACTTGTTTTTCACGCTCGCGAGCTCGTTCTAAATACTCTTCTCTGTCGAATTTTCTCCTGAAAGTGTTATCGACTCCAGCAACCTGCTGAACAGATTTATCAAAAAAATCATATAATCGCATCAACTATATCAAAAATTCAAACTTTAATTTAAAACAACAAACGAAATTGAGTTGAGGGAGTGATACGTACGTTGTCGTTAGCCGCCATTAAAACTCAATTACAGAAAAACTTGATTAATGGAATCAAAATTTTAAGCTTCACAGGGAAAGAGCTGGAATTTGGAATTAGGAGTAATGGAACCGTGAAACCCCAATTTCTCCCTCTCGCCGTAATAATTAACGACGTCGTCTCTCCTAGATTTTGTTGATATTTAAATAAATTTTTGGTCTGGACCGACGTGGGTGTTTGGTCTAGTGGTATGATTCTCGCTTCGGGTGCGAGAGGTCGCGAGTTCGATTCTCGCAACACCCCTCCTTTTTCAAAGCCCATTTCTGAGCCTGGCCCATTATCCATTTAATTATATTTCTAAGCCCATTTTTAACTCCAGTTCTTTAGGGCCCTTTTTGTCTTTTGATATGACTGATCGTTTAAAGCTTTATGAAAGTACATCTAATGATAAGTACCACATGGTTTTAAAAACCTGACTAGTTCCTCATCCGGTCCATTGAATGGTTAAAACTCATTTTAGCCATTGATCTAAGATTGAATCGATGGAACAGTATTGAATCACGGTTCAACTATCGAGTTAGGTAAGGAATGTCTTGTTTTATTAATTATTAGAGTTTTAAAATTTTATTACGTTATATTATCAGCATGATGTCACTAGTCGAATTGTCCAGACCTAAGGACTGGCCTCTTGACTAAGTTAGTCGAGGATAAAAAAATGGGATAACACGTGAACTTTTATTGATAAAACTAAAGCTTTCATAAATGGAAAAAAAGTTTCAATCATTCTTCCATTGGTCCATGGCAAGTCTCAATTTATTGGTAATAAAAATAAAACTATTTATAAATTTCGAGGGGTTGACTTAAAAGTTAAGGAGGTTTAATCAATTTCTTAAGTTTTTAGATTCAAACCTTGAGGTCATCTACCATAATGATATTGTGACTTACCTGGTTCTTTGAGCTTGTAGAGTGTTCAATGGATCCTAAAGATTAGTTAAGGTGCGCGTAAGCTAACTCAGATACCCAATTACAATATATATATATATATATTAAAAAAAATAAACTTATTTATGGATGGAAATCTATAAATATACTTATTTATTGAGAATAGTTTAAAAAGTAAGTAAGTAACTATACGGATGTGAAACGGTTACCAAAATAATAAAAAAATAAACTTATTTATGGATGGAAATCTATAAATATACTTAACGAGAATAATTTAGAAAGTAACTACACAGATGTGAACGGTTACCAAAAAAATAAAAATAAAAATAAACTTATTTATGGATGGAAATCTATAAATATACTTAATATGAGAAATAATTTAAAAAGGGAAAGATTTTGGTATATTTAAGGACAGTCTTCAACGTGGGGAAGGAAAAGGAATGGAATTGGAATATAATAACACATGCACGAGGCTTTCCTTTCACAAATTTACTATCAATTCTTTCGTAAAGCCATAGCCATCGCCGTAGCCAGAGTTATTCATCTTCTTTCTTTGATCTGATTTGATTGCGTTATGTCTAAGACTTTCAGCAACATGTTCTTTTCTTTTGTTCTTGCTTTCATATCTCTCTTTCTTCTTTTCCCTCCTCCTCAATGCAATGCTCTTACTCTGCAAGATTGTAAGTTTGACGCCATATATCAACTTGGCGACTCGATTGCTGACACGGGAAATCTGATTCGCGAGAGCCCTCAATCACGGTTTGCCTCGCTTCCTTATGGACAAAACTTCTTCAAGAAAGCAACTGGGAGATGCTCAAACGGGTTATTGATGATTGATTATATTGGTAAGCCATTAACTTCTGTTTGTTGGGTTAGTTTTGAGATTTAGAGTAAAAGAATCAACAACGTGATCACCAACTGACAATATACTAAAGTTTGATCAGTTAGCCTTTTTCTTTTTATTTGATTCTATCTTTACAGTATGCTACTTTATTTATGCCTCTCTGTGTGCTTAATGATGATGCATTATAATTTATAATTTTGTAGCTCAATCGGCTGGTGTCCCCTTGCTTGATGCCTACTTGAATCCCAACGCAACATTCAGTCATGGCCATGGAATGAATTTTGCAGTTGCTGGTTCAACTGCTTTGCCTGTGGATGTTTTATTAGAGAAAAGGATTGTAGCCTCAGTCACCAACTCTTCTCTCAGTACTCAGCTTGACTGGATGTTCACCTATTTCAATGGAATCTGTTACGATGATAAAGGTCAGTGCCTGCTTCATTTAAATTAGATGTATTAAATCATATATGTATGAATTAAGTACTAAGTATTTGTTAATTATGATTAATAGACTGTCATGAGAAACTTAAAAGGTCTTTGTATGAATTAAGTGCTAAGTATTTGTTAATTATGATTAATAGACTGTCATGAGAAACTTAAAAGGTCTTTGTTCATGGTTGGGGAGATTGGAGGAAACGATTACGGTTATGCACTGTTTCAAGGCAAAACCCTCGAGGAGGTCACGGCCATGGTGTCTGATGTTGTCCAAGCCATTAAAGATGCTGCTACTGTAACTCTTCTTCTTCATTCCTCATAATTTTATGGGTATTAGAGTTAATTTCTCAACGGTACTGATTGTTTAACTGGTTTGGTTGCAGAGAGTAATTGAGAGTGGGGCTCTTAGAGTTATTATTCCGGGAATATTTCCCATTGGTTGCTTCCCAATCTATCTAACTGGATTCCAAACCAATGATTCTACTGCTTATGATGAGCTCCATTGCCTGAAGGGGTTGAACAACTTTTCAATGTATCACAATGAGCGCCTTCAACAAGCCATTCAAGAACTCAAACTACAATACCCTAACATCGTTATTGTATATGGCGATTATTACAACACATTCTTGGGGCTTCTACGCCAAGCTAGTTTGCTTCGTAAGTTTATTCATTAATCTTTTTCACATCTCTTAATAGGAAACTTACGAAACTTTGTATAAAATTAAACAGGTTTTGATGTTAAATCAGTGCAAAAAGCTTGCTGCGGAGTTGGAGGTGAATATAATTTTAATCTAACAAGAGACTGTGGAGGTCCTGATGTTCCAGTGTGTCCCAATCCCGATGATCACATCAGCTGGGATGGTGTTCATTTGACTCAGAAAGCTTATAACACCATGGCATCATGGCTCATCCATGACATCTTCCCAAAGCTTCAATGTTTTAATCCCTTAATTTAGTTTTGTAGAGCAGTTATTGGTTAATAATATTGCATAATTTTGTCTATCTATTCCAACCATTATGTGCTCTCTATTTGAATTTTGAACCATTATATTTAGCATAAATACATATATGCAAGCATGAATAATAGTTTTAGTCAAATCTAGCTTCCACTTCCGATGTTGTTAAAGCCAAATACAGAATGCTGTTAAGGCAATCAATTCTCTTAAAAACATCATCTACTTGGCTTGATTACTGATATAGATGGTTCCATTTGAGCAACAAATAATAATGGAATGCAAACAGGCCATTGAAGATAGACTGCTTTCCAATCCATCAAACATCATTCCATTACAATGAGTATCTCCAACTGGCGGTGGGCCGTGTCAGCCCATGGCATGATAGGAAAAAAACACAACACAACAAGACATGACACAAAAAAAAACATGGAACGGCATGACTCACGATCATGCAGGCTGTGCCGTGGGCCTTAAAAAAGGCATGAGGGTCAGCACGACATGAAAAAAAAAAAATACTTAAAAAAAATAGCTTAATTTCTAAATTTGTATTTATAATTTATAATTAATAAAATTAATAAAAATGAAGATGTATGATAATTCTTAATCCTAATTTCTAAATTTGTATATATAATTTATAATTATAACTTATAAGTAGTAAAAAGTGTTGAAATTCAATTAATATTTCAATATCTCATTATTTTATTATTTTTTATAGTGATTATATATTTTTTTTAATTAATACAAATATAAAATATCATTAAATATAACATATAAAATAATAATTCAAAATTACCACAATTTATAAATATTAAAAAAAATTTATAGGCATGCTCACAAAGCACGTGAGTCAGCCCATGGCATTGCACGACAAGGCATGAATTTTGGTGGGCCTTGGCACAGCACGACAAGACACGAATTTCTGTGGGCCTTGACACGACACAACAAAGCACAAATTTCTTTGGGTCTTGGCACGGCACGGCCCACAACACGATGGGCCTTGAATTTTAGGTACATCACGGCCCAGTGCCAGCTCTACCTCCAACAGGCCATTGAAGAACCAATAACAGAATTTCCCTAATGTGATTGTAGGATATATATGTACGTCGATTATTACAATTCCTTTTGTTGACATGGAATGAGGATATTATGCATTAAATGGAGATGCAATATGGTTCTAATTGGAGTATGTATATCGGATATTATGCTGTTACCTTATTATAGGGATCATGACATTATTTTCTTTAAGAGTTAATGACTTTTTCCCACCCAAATAATGGTTTGATGACACTTTCCCACGAACAGAATTTTAAAATATCATTTTACTATCTTAATTTATATTCCGACGGTGAATGAAGAACAAACTCAGTCCAAGTTGTTAGGGTTTTTAAAGAGGGGAGACCAATTAATCTTTTGATGGTGGAAGGTTGGGTTTTCATGGTTGGGATTGATCGAAACTTGACTTAAGAGGGGTGGCTATGCAAACTCTAATGGTTTGATTGTCAGCGATTGACGAGGTCGACAGGAATAGGGTTTGAGAGGTTTTGGTGAGTGATGATTGAGGAAGAGAATGATAGTGGTGTGGGATCACAACAATGTTGGAATCAGAAACGGAATATAAATTTAGGTAATAAAGTAATATTTTAAAAGTCTGTGGGTAAAAAAATATCATTAAACTATTATTTGGCTGGGAAAATGTCGTTTACTTGTTTCTTTAGTTACATTTCCTTACAGGTCTGTTCTTTCTTGTATAAATTGATGTAAATTGTACATGAGAAACATATCAATCAAATACATTTTCACTACAAAGCTCTTTGTTCTTTTCCTCTTGGCATACTCAGCAACCAAGTTGCTTCTCTTGCCTCTCCATCACGAAGTTCTGACACCTTTCAATGGATTTTACAGAATCTTCCTTTGCTTGGAGAGTTTCTTTCTGTTTCATGAATCATAGACTGATCTTAATAAAGAATATATATATATATATAGCTTGGAATTGGATCCATATACAGTACTGATATAGATGGTAATTAAAAAATTACAACAAAAACATGACGCCTTAGAGAAGACCCTCTGAGTCTCAATAGAAGCATCAATGTAAACCTAATCAATCGTAGCCAAATTGCTTGATTTAATTCCAACCCAGTATGCAGAATGCTTAATTGTTCTAGCTTGATAAAGCATGAAAGTTTCTTTTATCGACATTGAATTGAGAATCTACAGTGCAAATAACGTTGCCTCCAATCTGAACTATTTGATAGTTCTATATATAATCTTTATCTTTTAAGGAACCCTACATTTTTTTAAGGAACCAAAACTGAAACCGGTCAGTTCTTAAAATTTGGAATCAGTTGGTTCTTAAGATTTGGAAACGGAAACCTTGAACCAGAACTTGAAACATAGGTTCCCGTTCTAGGTCTAGGTACCGAGGTTAATTATTACCCCCTATTTAAAAAAAATTACAAATACACCCCTAATAATTTACAAAAAATAAATTCAATCCCAATTCTTTTCTGAGTACCCAGATCTCAGTTCCAATTGTGTTGAAACTAGAACCGGACTTGGGAATTACCAGTTCCAATTTGTCAGAACTGAAACCAAACCCTAATGAGGCCGGTTCCAATTCTACCATTTACCCATGCTCACCCCTAGTCAAAAATCTTATAGGACGAAATTAATTAATATATAATTTGTTGCAACCGAACATGCCAACAATATTAGACCAAACTTTGCACGAAGAAGTTAATAATATTTGAATTGTCAATATCTTGTAATTAAGAGGGCTTGAATAATGGATGGGAAATGAATAATGAAAGAAGGTAAAGCAAAATATTGATAATAAATAATGTAGCTACCATACCATGCCAAAGTTGGAGAATCAAATCCACCTAGGAACTCTCTCTGCTCTTCCCAAAACCAACAAAACAAAACTTGTTCAATTTCCATCTCTATTTACGCAAAAAACTTGCGTCCAACACGCAACCCCAACGTGCAATCTCTGCAAAAATTAACCAGTACCAGCTACTNCCAAGTCAAAAATCTTATAGGACGAAATTAATTAATATATAATTTGTTGCAACCGAACATGCCAACAATATTAGACCAAACTTTGCACGAAGAAGTTAATAATATTTGAATTGTCAATATCTTGTAGTTAAGAGGGTTTGAATAATGGATGGGAAATGAATAATGAAAGAAGGTAAAGCAAAATATTGATAATAAATAATGTAGCTACCATACCATGCCAAAGTTGGAGAATCAAATCCACCTAGGAACTCTCTCTGCTCTTCCCAAAACCAACAAAACAAAACTTGTTCAATTTCCATCTCTATTTACGCAAAAAACTTGCGTCCAACACGCAACCCCAACGTGCAATCTCTGCAAAAATTAACCAGTACCAGCTACTACTGCATGCTGTCACCAGACCAGACCACCCCCCACCACCATCCAATCTTCTTATGCCAGACTCCAAATTAAGTGTCTCTTCTGCTCTCTATTACTACCATTTTTTCTTGGTCAAAAAGATCATCATCTTTTCATGGAAATATTTATTAACTAGAACTATATCTACAGCGAAACATAAACACCCCTTTCATCACTTTTAACAGTTAGTTCTAATGGGAAATTTTGGAAAAAAAAACATATAGATATCTACAGTTTGAATATTCGAATTCGATTGAAACTCGTATTCTCGAACTCGAATAAAATTCAGTTATACCAACTCGAATTCGAACTCAAATTCCAATTTTAGGTACCGAGTTTGAATTCAAACTCAATTTCTCAAGCTTGAATTCGGTACTATAATGTTCGAGTCGAGTTCAATTAATCAGATACTGGACTCAATTCAACTTGATTTCTCCCTTGGAATAGTCTATAAAGGATATGATGTAGGATTAATTTGTTGAAAATCTAGTTTTAAGAGAGAATTTATGATGATAGGGAACAGTAAGCAGACGTCGGTTTAAAAGAAGTAAAAAGAAAGAGGGGAATGCTATTTTGGCGGCAGGAAGTATCTCAAACTGACCCAATTCTTACGTAATTAATAATATATCATATAAAACTGTTGATCAAACCGGTAAGAATAAGATTCACTGGTACTTGTCAAATTGTAAGTCAAATCTTTTATGCCATGCTATCAAGTCTTCTTCAAAAATTTTCCTTCCTTCTTCTTCAAATTAAGCTCGTGCACAACACGTGCAACTCTCCATTAAACTTTAATTGGTCAGTATTTTCCACTCTTTCAAAGAGAGAGTGATGGTGATCATCATCTGAATACCTGCAATTGATTAATCAGTCATATTTTTCAAACTTCTCATAAGGGTTTTTATTTTTTTCGTAATTTTATTTTTCAAAGAATTCAAATGCCATCAAGATTGAATAAATGGACAAATGGGCATTCATGGCTGTTTCTACATGGCAGAGCTTGAAAAAGTGAATATGAATTATATCTTTGATTGCCTTTTTCTCTTAAGGGTCTTTAAAGAATGCCCACTTGAAGACTCAATCTCTTTAATTCTCTTTCCCTCCCTCTCTCCCTCTCTCTCTCTCTCTTACAGAAACTTGTATATATATATATGCATGCATGACTTTGCTTCTACTACTTCTTAGCTAACTCTCACTCTCTCTCTCGATCTCGCTCTCGCTTTCTTCATCTGTATTATCGTTTGCATATAGAACTCCAGGTGGGTGAGTAGCTCTTGTTGGAGAAGCAGGGCACGTGCACATGTACTTCTCGATATATCTCATGCATCCATCGATCTTTGTCTTGTGTAGTACAGAACTTGCACGTGCTCCCCTTCTCCAACATGAGTTCCTCACCCTTAATTTCGCTCTCTGCCGGTCTATCAATCCTCCAGGTAAATACAGATATACAACTTTTCCACTTCACACTCTCTTTTTCACTGCAAATGAGCTTAATCTTGTAGATATCTGCAGGTTTTTGTTGAATATGACACCATGATTATAGTAATATTATTTGTCAGCTTTAATGGAGTTTTTTAGTTTTTAGCTTTGGCAGGGTAATTAAATTGAAGACATTTGTCAGATTTGTGACACATGCATGTACTTCTCAATCCACATGTTTAATTTTTGGCAGTAGCCGAGGGGCGAGGGCCATTTTTTATATCTTTGAATTACTATTTTGCTACAAAGAAAGCCTAAAAACAGGCTGAAAGGTAACATTACATCTATATATAGACATACAGATGGAGCTGTTTTGAGGTTAAAATGGAGAGTCAAAGTGTACAGTAACTAATATCTCACCAAATATGGACTGCCTTAATCAATGCGGCAATCAAAATTGTTAATTATGTGCTACAGAACCAGACTTCGAAATTGATCTTTCTGCAGAAAAAAAATGTATATGCATCCGACCAATAATCAAATTTCATGTTAACTTAAGTGGCATGCATACAGAATATCTATCCAAATAAAGAATACCAATTTGATTTTAATGCATAAATCATTTGGGAAAATCGTGTAAAGGCATGTGACATATACACACTCTCTGCTTTTGCAACAAAATTTTGCTCCTTCTAGCTAGATGAGATGATGCACACAAATGTACTTGTGAATCTATCTTCTGTGGTAATGGTACGGAGGAAACGTGAGCTACAGGAGGAGAGAAACAAGACGAATGAGCAAGTACCATTTGGCAAACAAGTAAAGAGGGTAAATGGCGTAAGGTTGATGAAGGCTATAGGTAAAACTAAGAAAGGTTTTGCCAGCAGAATCAAGAAAAATATGAGGGTCTATAAAGGGTACTTTCGCAATACTTTTTGGCATAGAAAGTGGGGGACTCTGTTCGGGTTCCCTTTGTAAGTGAGAAGACTTATTTTGATAGGCCATAAAGGTATCGGAAATTGAAATGGGAGGGGACAAGAAACGCAGAAATGCCTGCCCAGATATGCAGAACCTTAAAATGCAAGCAATGGTCAAAACACTCAATGATCAATAAAGACACAGAGCTGGGTAATATAATGGAGAACAAGAAGAAGAAGAATTAAGTGCTGCACTCTCTCTACACGCAATGCTCAGATCTCGAGGTTCCAACACATAATCATTATATCACATGTATTAGATTCAGTATATATCCCTCACGCCAGAACCTGATCAACCTCCAACATTATAATATGATGGTTACTGATTTATTGTTTTAATAAAAAGGCTGAGATGCCCATCAGTCTCTTCTTGGCAAAATTTAATAGGCCTTCTAAATCATTGTCTTTCAATGTAGAGGTCCAGCTTCTTGTTCTTTCATCTCTGTTCTCTGTTATTTTCTTTGTACTAAGATCATTAATGTTCTATGGCCCAGCTGTTGGGTAGGTTTAGTCCCAATTCGGAGACTTGTAGGGCCATTGCTTAACAGCATATCCATAGCCATAAATTGGTCTGATATAATTTATATACAATTTGATGTTTAATGTTTACTAGTGTGGAAATTAGTAATCAATAGATGCGCCATGGCTGGTAGTCCATTTCATTTGCAAGTTTCTGCTTAAAAAAGGACTCACATACTCAACCCAGATTAACAAATTTATATATTATATGGTACAGTTATGCAGTTCCCAAATTGAGTTCAGCTTTGTCAATGGAAAGTATAATTTCAGAAAACTCTAGCCTTGTTGAGATCCCAGTTGTTGCAGTTGCTGTCATTGCAGCGGCAATAGTAATATTACTATAAACCAAAATTATTGAAAGATCGGTATAGTAAACGAATGCTATGTACACAGTGCGATACATTTGGTCCCATCTGATCGCTTGTTGAATACCAGTACGGAAGAGTTCGAAATGGTGGTGTTTTCGGTTGTCAATAAACTCTTTGCCAAGCTCAAATTAAAACCGAGAAACATAGATATCTTAATCACAAATTGTAACGTTGTGTGTCCTACTCCATCTCTAGCTGTAATGATAATCAATAGATTCGGACTCAGAAGCGATGTGATGAGCTTTAATCTCTCTGGAATGGGGTGCAGCAGAGGAATCTTGTCGATTTCGTTAGCCAAAGGCCTTCTCAAAGTCCACAAGAACTCAACGGTTCTTGTCCTGAGCATGGAATCAGTATGTTTGATTATGTACCAAGGGAAAATCAAGTCTATGTTGCTCGCAAACTGCTTGTTTCGGATGGAAGGTGCAGCTATTTTACACTCGAATCGAACACATATCCAAATACGAGCTTAAATATTTAGTTAGAACTCAACTGGGCTCTAAAGATAGCGCATACAAATGTGTTTTCCAGGAACCTGACGACGAAGGCAACACAGGAGTTTCCTTATCAAGATCAATCCTGCAAGTGGTTGGCGAATCCCTGAAAACAAACCTCGCAAACCTGGCAGCTTTAGTACTTCCATATTCGGAGCTCATCTAATATGGCTTATCATTAATCTGGAGGAAAATCTGGTCTCCTGCAAGAAAAAGAGGTCTTCATATACCCAATCTCAGGAAGGCTTTTGAGCATTTCTATATGCATACTGGAGGGAAAGCAGTGATTGATGCCATCAGGGAGAACCTGAAGCTGAAAGAGAGGGATGTGGAGGCTTCAAAAATGAAACTTTACAGGTTTGGGAACACATCTTCATCATCAATTTGGTATGCACTTGGGTACCTTGAGGCAAAAGGTAGGGTTAAAAGAGTGGATACAATTTGGCAATTGGGGCTTGGAAGTGGGTTCAAGTGTAACAGTGCAGTCTGGAAATGTATTTCAAACCTGAAACAGGAGAATTCTAATGCTTGGTCAGGATGCATTCACCAGTACCCAGTTGAGGTTCCTGATGTCAAATATTTGATTTAATCTCATCAATATATTAGTTCTAGTAAAATATACAACATGATTTTTACAATATGATCAATATTTTTATATCTATATAATTTGAAATGAAATTGGTGTCTCTCCCAAAGGGGCTTCAATATCTCACCTCTCTGCAGAACTTGACTATTGGTGGTTGTAACCAAATTGAATCACTCTGCACAGCATTGAGGATGACGATAACATGCCATGGCGAGGCTCAGCCGCCAGTCTTTAGATATTTATGGGCTTCATAAATTGGTGCCTCTCTCAAAGGGCTTCAAGACACTAATTTATGAAGCCCAATTAAAGCCCCTTTTGGGAGGGACACCAATTTTTGAAGCCCATAAATATCTAAAGACTGGAGGCTTCTAAAGCGTTGCCCGTGTCATCGTCATCCTCACTGCTGTGCAGTGCTGAGTGATTGAATTTGGTTACGACTACCAATAATCAAGTTCTGTAGAGAGGTAAGTTCTGAATCTCACATCATTTGAGTCTTCATAAAAGTAATTGAAGGTGTCAACGATTCCCTTCTGATCTTACAAAAATGTAAATGGAGTGGAGTAATTTTTCATCTATATACTTCTTGTCTTCTTGATATGTCATTATTACATTAATTATAATTAAATATTAAATATTAATGTACTATTTTTACGGTACCAGCAGTTACTGCAGAGTTTTTCCACTCTTCTCTCTGTTCCTCTGTTTTGAGCTTAACCCAGTAGCCGTGAACCCCTAACCACAGAACAAATTTCAGGTAACCTTTTCCTCCACTTCATTTGATTTTATTATTGGTTTGTTTGCTAAGAAAACATAGGAAAACCAAAGGAACGAGAATTTGAACTCTTAAAAACTTATATAAACATATTTTTTCTTCTTCTTATTTTCCCTCTGTTTTTTCCCGGAAACCAAAGTAGGATCTGCGCATATTTAGGTAATTTATCTTTCATATTATGACCCGTTAGCGTTTTGTGATTCTAACTTCGTTATCTTTGCTGTATGATTGACGAGTTTCTCTATTAGACCATGTGTTCGATGAAATGCTTGTGAGAGAAAAAGCATTGTGTTAGACTGTAGCTTTCTTGTTATTTGGTTTCTGACAAAATGCATATAATTAGGAAAAAAAAAAAAATTAGGGGCTTTGTACAGTGTTTCTTAGTCATTGCCGAGTTGTTTCTTATTCATCAATAGGTACTTTCTGGACTGGGTGTTTTTGTAGTACCAGCCCGGTAACATTACCAGACATGATTGTTTTGTTACAACTAGCTATGATTCGGTTACGCATGTAATAATTCTCTAGCTAGCACATTGTTTCATTGAACCAATTTAATGCTATTTGTATTGGTCCAGCAATTCTATTAACTCATTGATACATATAACCGAAAGATAGCTAATTGTAACCAAAGGATGGATCTAAGCATGTTACCCGACCAGTAAGTTAGCATAACTATTTTGGAATAGGTGAAATCCTTTGATTTTTTTTTTTAGTGACTCTTGGCGGCCTTGTATAGTTATTCATCCAAATGATGCTTCACTGTGTCCTTTTTAGTTGTTAGTAGTATTCATTATGTTTTAAGTTGTATTCATATGTCGTTTGGTGGATGTGGAATTTGCTTTAAAGTCAAGTTTCGGGAATGGAATAGGAACTTGCGAAAATATGATCCATGTAATAACTGTGAAATTTTCATTTGTCAGTTATGTGGGTTAACATACTTCTTTGAATCTTGTGGAGATTGCCCTTTACAGGAGAAGTTTTAGCTTGTAATGTGTGTCTCTCCAAGCGCATTAGTCTATGAATGTCAAACATCATGTCATATTATTTGTATACAAAAGCCCCCATGTCTTGTTGTCTACTTGCTTATTCTTCCAAAGAAAAATGAAAAAAGAAAAGAGGTTTGCTATTAGCATTCTAGTTTTTGACATATGTTAACATTACCATTGAACTGTTAAGAGAACTAGAGTTTGGTTCTGTTCATTTGTTTGTTAGATGTTGAAAGGATGTAATGATTGTTTTTTATGATACCGTGGGTTTCTACAGTCTATGGAGCTTATGAAGTCTTGATTTGTTTCTCTATCTTGCCTTTGGATTTATCATGCGAGTGAAACACCCCTGAAACCAATGGTCCATAAGTATTTTTCCTTTACATAAACTGTCTAAAGAGCTTTTAATTCCTCATTCCACAAAAAAGGCTTGGAAGGCTGTGGCCTATTCTTTCTAGTAGGGTTTTTTTTTTTTTTTCTTTTTTGGCTAGGAAAAAGAAGAACTACATTTTCTATCAACTATTGTTTTCAGTAGTTGACAGTAGATAACACAAGAGTTAGGCAAATTCTGTATAACAAGCTTTTGTTACACTTTTCTTTTGATTTCAGTCAATAACTAATGCATTTTGATCATCTTGCTTATTGAATTCACTGGTGTAATTGTAAACATTTTCCCCTTCTTGAATCTTTGAGTGAGTAATTAAAGCCTTTTTATAGTTCGAGTCTGTACTAAAGGTTCAATCTGTTCTCTATTTGCAAAACAGAGATGGTTATTCCTCCACCTGTTAGGCCACCAAGAATCACCAAGTATCTGAAGCCCTATGTCCTGAAGACGAACTTCACAAACAAATATGTGAGTGCCCAAGTTTTCCACTCACCAACTGCCACAGTAGCTTGTTCAGCAAGTTCACAAGAAAAGGCTCTGAGGCCAACCATGGAGTCTACTCGGGACGTTGCTGCAGCCGCCAAGATTGGGAAAATTCTGGCTGAGCGGTTGCTTCTCAAGGACATTCCTGCCGTTACTGTTGCCTTGAAAAAAGAACAGAGATATCACGGTAAAGTGAAGGCGGTGATTGATTCTTTGAGGGATGCTGGTATCAAATTGATTTAGATTGAAATTTAATACTCAATTTGCTGTAAGGATTGTGACTTCTTTAAACTTTTTGTGATGGGATTGTGTTGGTCAAGTTATGTTTCAAACTTTGCATGCCTTGTTGAGACATTTACAGACCAAGCAAGTAGTTTTCAGCAATTCGGATAAGATTTTCTTCTGATTCAAGCTCATCCCATATCTCAGTATAACAAATAACGTTGACATTTACTTATTTCTTTGTTCCTTATCCTCTTTCTCTATTGTTTGTTCTTCTTTTCTGGTATTTCTTCAATTTTATTTCGTTTTGGACTCTATTATAAGTTGGTTTTGCTTGTACAATGTTTCCATCATGGTCCCTTGATTTATGATTTTGAAGGTGTCAACGATTCCCTTCTGATCTTACAAAAATGTAAATGGAGTGGAGTAATTTTTCATCTATATACTTCTTGTCTTCTTGATATGTCATTATTACATTAATTATAATTAAATATTAAATATTAATGTACTATTTTTACGGTACCAGCAGTTACTGCAGAGTTTTTCCACTCTTCTCTCTGTTCCTCTGTTTTGAGCTTAACCCAGTAGCCGTGAACCCCTAACCACAGAACAAATTTCAGGTAACCTTTTCCTCCACTTCATTTGATTTTATTATTGGTTTGTTTGCTAAGAAAACATAGGAAAACCAAAGGAACGAGAATTTGAACTCTTAAAACCTTGTATAAACATTTTTTTTTCTTCTTATTTTCCCTCTGTTTTTTCCCGGAAACCAAAGTAGGATCTGCGCATATTTAGGTAATTTATCTTTCATGTTATGACCCGTTAGCGTTTTGTGATTCTAACTTCGTTATCTTTGCTGTATGATTGACGAGTTTCTCTATTAGACCATGTGTTCGATGAAATGCTTGTGAGAGAAAAAGCATTGTGTTAGACTGTAGCTTTCTTGTTATTTGGTTTCCGACAAAATGCATATAATTAGAAAAAAAAAAAAAATTAGGGGCTTTGTACAGTGTTTCTAAGTCATTGCCGAGTTTTTTCTTATTCATCAATAGGTACTTTCTGGACTGGGTGTTTTTGTAGTACCAGCCCGGTAACATTACCAGACATGATTGTTTTGTTACAACTAGCTATGTTTCGGTTACGCATGTAATAATTCTCTAGCTAGCACATTGTTTCATGGAACCAATTTAATGCTATTTGTATTGGTCCAGCAATTCTATTAACACATTGATACATATAACCAAAAGATAGCTAATTGTAACCAAAGGATGGATCTAAGCATGTTACCCGACCAGTAAGGTAGCATAACTATTTTGGAATAGGTGAAATCCTTTGATTTTTTTTTTTAGTGACTCTTGGCGGCCTTGTATAGTTATTCATCCAAATGATGCTTCACTGTGTCCTTTTTAGTTGTTAGTAGTATTCATTATGTTTTAAGTTGTATTCATATGTCGTTTGGTGGATGTGGAATTTGCTTTAAAGTCAAGTTTCGGGAATGGAATAGGACAATTCCAGTGGAAAATATGATCCATGTAATAAACGTGAATATTTTTCATTTGTCAGTTATGTGGTGTTAACAACTTCTTTGCGAATCTTGTGGAGTTGCCCTTTACAGGAGAAGTTTTAGTCTTGTAATGTTGTCTCTCCAAGCGAAAGTCTATGAATGTCAAACATCATGTCATATTTATTTGTATACAAAAGCCCCCATGTCTTGTTGTCTACTTGCTTATTCTCCAAAGAAAACTGAAAAAGAAAAGAGGTTTGCTATTAGCATTCTAGTTTTTGACATATGTTAACATTACCTTGAACTGTTAAAGAGAACTAGAGTTTGGTTCTGTTCTTTTTTGTTAGATGTTGAAAGGATGTATGATGTTTTTCATGATACTTGGGTTTCTACAGTCTAATGGAGCTTATGAAGTCTTGATTTGTTTCGCTATCGCTTGCCTGGATTTATCATGCTAGGAACACCCCACCTGAAACCATGGTCCAATGGTTCCCCTATGGGTTTATCTTTCTCCTGCTTACCCTAATTCCTGGTACACAGAGGCTCTCTTTCTTTAATTCCTTTATGGCTAAAAAAGGAAGTCATTTCATAGTCCTTGTTTTTAGTGACAGAAAGACTTCATCTCACTAGTTATTTGGCTAATCCAATACAAGTTTTGTTCACAGTCGTTACACTTCGTGTGATTCAGATTCAAGTCATAACTGAGCTTTTGATCACTTGTGCGATATCAGGTAATTAACGATCTTTATCTCTCGCTTATTGCATTCACTGGGTTGTAAGGCCTTGTAACATTTCTCCCTTCTGAATCTTGAGTGAGAATACAGCCTAGGTCGAGCTGTACTAAAGGGTTCAATCTGTTCTCTATTGCAAACAGAGATGGTGTTCCTCCACCTGTTAGGCCACCAAGAATCACCAAGTATCTCGTGAGCCCTATGTCCTGAGAACGAACTTCACAAACAATAGTAGGTGCCCAAGTTTCCACTCACCAACTGCACACTGTCAGCGTGGTTCACAAGTGCTTCACCAATAAGAGCTCTGAGCCAACTCAGGGTCTACTCGACGTTGGCTGCAGCCCCCAAGATTGGGACAACATTACTTCTGTCTACGTGCGGCTGTGGGTTGCTTCTCAAGACATCCTGCCGTTACTGTTGCCTTGAAAAAGAACAGAGATATCACGGTAAGGGAAGGCGGTGATTGTTACTTCTTTGAGGGATGCTGGTATCATTGATTTAGATTGAACATTTAATACTCAATTTGCTTCCAGGTTTGTGACTTCTTTAACTTTTTGGTGGATTGGATGGTTGTGTCGTCAAGTTATGTTTCACAACTTTGCATGCCTTGTTGAGACATTACCAGACCAAGCAAGTAGAGTTTCAGTCAATTCGGTGGACTTTATGTGTGCTTCTGATCGCCTGGCGCCATCCCACTATCGCAGTCCTACACAATCTACCGTTTTAGATTTGACTTACTCTGTTCTTTATCCTCCCTCCGGTCTCCATGGTTCTGTCTTTCGTGGATCTTCACTCAATGCTCCTGTTCGTGGACTCTATTATAGTTGGTTTTGCTTGTACACGTGCTTCATCATGGCCTTAGATTTATGATCTAGGGTGTGACAAAAGGAAATAATAACCCAACATTGTGGGTTATAACATAATCTCTCTAATTTACCATCAAATAACAAAATCCCTCCATGGTTATGTTAAAATAGTCGGTAGTGGGGATGATATGAAATAGATTAACCAATTATGTATAAGTCTAGCCTGGTAAGAGTGTTCTGACTATGCTCTCCCTCCGTGATGAGATTGGTCATCGGGGATCCCCGTGTAGCAAAGGCCGCCACTTATGTTCCACCCATGAACGTCCGCTCTGTTCCTTGCCATGCCGTAGTTTTATTTAACGGGATATTAACATAAAATCGTAGAAAAAAATATTAGTTTTATATTAAACCCCTAAACATTTCTCTGATAATCCCAAATCATTATTTGAAGTGTGTATAAGTGAAATACTAAATAGTAAGATGGTTCATGGTAGAGTTTTTGGGTTTTTTTGGTTTTGTGAATTTGAACTGAATATCTATATCATATCAGTATATAAATATAGCATTATGATATATATACATATAATATATATATATATATATTATATATGGTGATTAGAATGTCCGTGTCAGTTTATGTGTATCTCGCTAATCTCTAAGGTCTTGAAGTTAATGACCAATAAACCTTTTTAATAATAGTAAAACGAAAAATTAACACTTAAACCTTCTTTGATATATATCTACAAATTTTATAGTCCTATCTATCTTTTAAAGAGTGGTGTTAAAGCAGATTTTTTTTATTAACTAAATTATTCAAATCAATTTACACGTTTTCAATTAATTCGATAAGGTTGAAATTACTGGCGGAATAAATCCCCATCCTATTATTACTGTGGGATTATTGTTAACACCACTACTATTAATATCTAAGATATCGGGTCCGTACTCTAGAGGGTCAAATATCCGATTTCCAACCTAATAAGCCCAAGCCCATTTACATTTAGAGTCCAGACGACGGATTAAGTGAGGAGCATTCTAGACAAACATGATCGCTCACGTGATCATGCCCCCGACATATCTACACCCGCCACGTGTCACCCTTATTAGGCACGTGTCAACCACATGCAACCTCGGCCCCACCACCTGTCATACGATCTAACCTTACAACGTGCTCCTCGATCCACCGCCACGTCACCATTCCAGTTTTAGATCTCCACATAACGGCTCACACCTCCTAGTGTGTTCGGTCTTTACAAACTGTCTAAAACCTCTCACCACGTAAATCTCGCCCCTCTGCCGATTACTCTATCCCAGACCTTGAGTGGAGAGGACATTTCGTTAACACAGCCGGTCTGTTAAAAACACTCGAGTCTTGCTCACTTGCGCCATGAGCTACTTGACCAGTTGTGGGACGACACCTTGGCGGCCTCGGCCGGAGTCCGGCTGGCAAGCTTCGAAAGCACTCCACCTTCATTTTCCGCCCAAATTCCGGCAAGGTAGGCACTACCTGGTGGCGCATTTGCGCAGATTCTGTATAACATTTTTTAAGAAAATAATTAAAAGTGAAATTGAACTACAATCATTGATAATCAGTGATCGGACGGCTAAGATTTTTTTATTAACCTTCGCATTATTTAAACAAAACAGATTTTAAATTTAGTCTGTTTAATGGGGGTACATGCTGAGTGGACAAGAATTTTAAGGTTGTTAGAGTTATTAAAGCGGCGGCAGTGGAGTAGTTTATTTAGTTAGTAGCTACCGTTGAATTTTGGTTCTAGTTCTGTTTGTCTCTGTACTTTTTGAATTATTTCTGATGCTTGATTATGGTTGTGATTAGAATCTAATGGCGGGAACGTGAGATCAGCGTTGACGAATCGCCGTTGGAGGTGCGAAAGTTACACGGAGTATCATGATAGTAAAACCACCTGGTTATCAGAACGGGTCGCCGCCTGTTTCTCCGGCCGATCTACACCTCCGGTATCTCCTTTTTCTGTAACTAAACTTCTTGTTCAAATGACGAATGATTTAATTACTAGTTCCGAAAATGCCCTCTCCGATATAATGGAGTTTGTGATAACAGGAATCAACCAACGGAAAGCTAGGATTATTTGTCATTTAGCGCACGTAGAGTAGGGTATATCGGTAACTTCATG